CTTGAACAAGTTCCTGTTTATCTATTTAGCAGTTACAGTTCCTGTTCCTCTGGTATGGCGTTGCTTATCCCTCTTTGTCAGCCCAACAACAGTGATAGGTTGCAAACTGTCAAGATCTCTATAAAACTCACACACACACTTCCTCATGTGCACTCTTGCAGAATACTCTGTGCTCTGTGAGACCTGTACCTTTGAAGCTTCAAATAAAGAACCAACAAGACAACGCTGTTTGCTTTCACCAGTTTATTATTGATTACTCTCAATTGTACATCTTTCAAGTATTGACGAGGTAGAATATCCATAACAATGTCCCCATCAACACCATATGTGAGAAAATTGGAAAAGACATAATAATAATAATAATAAATTCTATTTGTAAAGCAACTTTCATTGCTAAAAGCAATCCCAAAGTGCTACAGGAGGCGTAAGAAACAAACAAAATAAACAAAAGTTGAATCAAAGGTTTTTAGGCCTTTCTTAAAGGCGTCAGTGGTCTATGGAGTCCTCAGGTGGTCTGGGAGGGAATTCCACAGGTGAGGAGCAGCTGCACAGAAAGCCCGATCCCTCATTGTGCGGAGTTTGGTCCTGGGTAGGGATGGGTATCGTTTGAAATGTATCGATTCCAATTCCGATTCCGGTTCTGCTTATCGATTCCGGTTCTTATCGATTCCCCGTTTCGATTCCAAAATCGTAAAAGAAAGAGGTCAAACGTTTAGATAACAAAAATATCTTTATTCTTTTAAGCTTTAACTGACATTTTTACAAATAAAAAATATACATGCAATACAAATGTATTGCACAATAGCTGTGCTTTATTTTAACTGAGCTATGCCTGTGGCAAGCTATTAACAGGCATTACACTGTGCCTTGTCTTTTTCTTTTTTAGTGTAGTGGAGCCTCACTTTAGAGCGTTTACCGCGATCCATCTTTGGTGTTATGAAGTGATTGAGCTCGTGAACTGTCTACGGGAGGGCGGGGGGAGCCTCGCTGCGGGGCAACTGTGGACCTCTGTCGCCTGTCAGCGCAACTTACATGATGCCGTTTAAAAAAATGAAGGGCGGTGCCGGCCGTCAGCATACCGAGCCGGCCGTCAACGGCCCGCTGACGACCCGCTGACGACCGGCCGTTCTGTGATTCTCCAGAACACACAGATCATGGCCAGTGGATATACTGTATTCCACCGGGTCACCGCGGCGCAGACGGACCCGCGGCGCAGACGGACCCGCGGCGCAGACGGACCCGCGGCGCAGACGGACCCGGTGGAATACAGGGTCTACCGCGTTTAGGAACCGTTAAGCAGAACCGAAATTGTGTATTTTGTATGGGTACCCGGTACCCGGCATTTTCTTATCGGTTCTCATCTGGAACCGAGTTTCGGTTCCCAACCCTAGTCCTGGGGGGGCGAAGCAGATGGTTTGTTGTGGAACGGAGATTGCGTGTGGAGGTTTGTGATGTGAGTAGTTATTTTAAGTATGAAGGAGCATTCCCGTGGATGCACTGATGGGCGAGCAGTGAGATCTTGTATTCAATCCTGAATGAGACAGGAAGCCAGTGGAGGGAATGAAGGACGGGTGTGATGTGGTTGTACTTTCTCACCCTCATCAGGATCCTAGCGGCACTGTTCTGTATGTATTGGAGCTTCTGAAGGCTCCCGCTAGGAGTCCCGATGAGGAGAGCGTTACAATAGTCAAGCCTTGAGGAAACGAAGGCATGGACCAGTTGTTCAGCATCTGACAGGAGTTTTGCAATGTTCCTGAGGTGGTAGTAGGAGGTTTTGCACAGGTGTTTGATGTGGGTGTCAAAGATCAGATGTCGGTCAAATCTTACACCCAGGTTGGTAACTGATGTGGAGAGTATGTTTTGGCCAGAAAAGGTGATGTGGGTTATGGGGGATGACTGGACCTGGTTTGGTGTGCCAACTAAAATAGCCTCTGTTTTGGAGCTATTTAGCTGCAGGAAGTTTTGTTGCATCCAAGCCTTTATCTCCTCAATGCAGGTGTTAAAGGATGTTGATGGGAACGGTGATGATGATGGTGGCAGTGAGGATGCATGTGGGATAGGGTCTGTCTTTATATATAGCTGCCTGTCATCAGCGTAGCAATGGAATGATATTCCATGCTGGCTGATGACACGGCCAAGGGGCAGAGTGTACAGGGTGAACAGAGTGGGCCCGAGGACCGACCCTTGAGGGACACCACAGGTGACAGGGTGTGTCTGGGACCTCGCACCTCCCAAGGAGACGTACTCTGTTCTTCCAGACAGACTGGAACCAGCTCAGGGCGGAGTCAGAGAGTCCGATGGTGTATTGGAGGCGCTGAAGGAGGATGTTATGGCAGACAGTGTCGAATGCTGCAGTCAGATCCAGGAGGATGAGGAGAGATGGAGAACCAGCGTCAGCCGCCATCAGCAGGTCGTTTGTGACCCTGACCAGAGCTGTTTCAGTGCTGTGGGCGGAACAGAAACCGGACTGGAATTTCTCAAAGAGGCCGTTTAGTTGGAGATGGTCCTGAAGCTGGGCGGCAACTACATGTCTAACTGTCTACCAGCATGTCATGCACTCACTGGCTGTGGCACAACAAGTAGTTTGTACAGAATAGGAAAGACAACAGCATTCACCAAACTCAAGACCCATCTCAGCGAGCTCAAAGATCTGGCCCATTTTGGACTCTCTGCCAGCTTGGAAGAGTCTTTGCCAATCGCAAGAGAATTTGCGCTTCTGCTATATGGAAAAAAGAACAAGGAAATTGGACTGATGTACACAAACTTGGATGAACTGAGGTTCATAATTGCATCAACAACAGATGCAGCCTCGGAAAATCTGCTGCCAACAGAGGATGCATTTCAACAACATGCACAAAGAGCAATGTTTCAGACAGCGATATGGTGTCACAGCCCGAACCCAACCCTATCACCAAAAGTACAATTTCCGTCTAAACTAAAGCTAAGTTTACAGGACTATAATTCAGTATTTTTTTAGTTAAATAATTGTCTGACTATTTGGTGATGTAGGACAGCCACCTGGTCATACCTCAGCAAATCTGAAGAGGAAAAGAGTGGTCATTCTCAAGTTATGGGCTTTTTTGTCACCTTTCCCATATTCAGCCTGGTCTAATTTGGCTCTTTTTCAGGGATTGGGGTAGTTCTAAAGAACAACCAAAAAAACATTTTTTCCCCCAAAATAAAATGTGTCAACAATCAATTTCATTAATGGGAGACCCTAAAGATAAGAAAAATCATTGTTGTCATTTGTTCTACCTCGGGTAGGGGTATCTCAAAATCTGAGGGCCCTTCCTGCTAAACTATAAACATTCATTAACGTTAGCTTAATAAAAACACCAGTAACAGGTTCTGTTTTAACCGCAGATAAATCCTATATTTGCATGACGAATAGTCCACCAGGAACCAACACAACAAACACGGCCGAGTTCAAGTAGTGTTCTCCTGGTGAGCTGAGCCCCTGTAGCATCACGGAGCTAATGGAGCTAACGGAGCTAGCAGTGAGACAGAGGAGCTAGGAGCAGCAGTCCCGTTGTCATGAAGGGGGAATCTAACTATATACAGAATATGTTTTTTTGGATCCAGGCTAGCATGTTCATTTTCTGATGTTAAGTTGGACATTTTAACATAGGGTCTACGGGAATTGCTCCCATCTGCATCCATCGCTTATACAGTTTGCAGCATTGGGCTTCACCGCACTGTCCCGGAGTTCGCCGCTTGGCTCTGATAGGCCAGAAGTCGGTTTGATTGCATTCGGGCTCGATTGCTCGAAAAATCGAAATTTTTGACGTCGAATTTTAAACACCGAAATTGTCCATTCAAATTCTTTTCACTTGAATTTTTGGGATCTGAATTTGACCATTCAAATGTTTTTAACTTGAATTGTTACATTTTTATTTCACATGGGTAAATTTGGAGCAAAACAATTCAGATACATGATTTTCAAAGTAGTTATTTTCAATGCTATAAATTCGGTGTCTGATAAAATTCAAATACTTCTGTCTCTTGTTTGCTTCCATAGACCGCACTTTGCATTAATTCGGTAGAATGCCCCGTAATACATTATTTTCGATTATAAATGCAAAGATTTAGGTCTTATGCATGAACAACTTGGGTATTCATGACTATCCCTATGGCCAATAGGCAATGAACGCAGTAGACTTTATACGAACTTGGCCCATATAAATCTAATTAAAAAAAATATATATATATATATTATAACAATTTAAGGTATAAACATTCTCAAAGAGCATAAAGATAGAAACCTACAAACATATGAACCAGTATGGTTCCAAGCAGTAGTGCTTGACAATAAGTGCAAATAAACATTGAATTAATAAACCAGGTAAAGAATACCTGATTATTATATTATGATATTAAGTTAAATGTAAAAGTACAAATGCAATATTAAGGATAAGGTACAACATGAAATAAAAGAGGCCTAAATATGAATCATAAGATAAGATTGAGAACCTATAGGCTACTGAACATTAATAATAAAAGGAATGTTCAAATAATATCTATAAATATTCATAAATGTATTTGTAGGCCTACGTGGGACGATGGCTTTTTATAATTTACATGTTTTTGGTAGGATTCATAATGTAACATTATGGGATTGCAGCCTAAATGTTCCATCAATATATTGTTTTTAATGACATATACTCTCTAATAAACCACTGACAAGTCAATTATTTTTATTATTACACATCATTTCTCCCTTGGCTGCAACATTTCTTGAAAATTACATACATTTAACTTTTGCTGTAGTTTATTTCATAGAAATGCAATTTAGATTATACCAAGCACTTTCAACATAATGTCCGACAGTGAAATTTGTAAAAAGAAAAAAAGAATGAAGGAGAAAAACAGTCATTACTTAAAATATATACATTACGGAATTTGTTTTTTGTGGATTGTAACATTGACGATTTAATTGTATTTCTAAATCGGTAAAATGTGTCGAAAGTGCTTTACTCGTTGTCAGAACAGATACACATTCACTCAGCTGCAGTGGAGCTGCAGCAGCTCCTGCTCTGTGCCTTTATTTATCTTTACGGCACATTGTATACTTAGCGTGAGGAGCATGGATAAAGTAAAAAAAACGTCTCTGTTTTTAGTTCGATATTGTCGCCGTTCTTTCCTTTGCCCAATGTGTTAGCTAAATTAAGCCACTCAAGCTAGCTAGAATGCTACATGACTTTTTTTCTCCACACGAAGAAGAGGAGGGAGGACACCTTTAATGAATCCTGATGGCTTCATCTTCTGCAGTTGTGAAAGGTCTGAAATGCATGTTTTTACCTGTTGTTACATTTTAGCTGGACACAATCATACGGCTACGCAAAAAGCCTCTGCAGCTAGCAAATAGTTAGCCATATTTATTTTCAAGAAATCATTAACTAAACTTACTGAAGTTACTCTTCCATCAAATAACATCAAATACTATGGTTTTATTGTGTAGCAATTTCTTGTTATATCTTTTCCGTCCATTAAAACAAATCATAGGCTAAAAATGTGACAAAATATACCCCACTTCTAACTGTGTGTTCCTTAGGTAAAGTAAATGTTGTATGAGAATAAATTAAGAGTAAACTAATGACATGTTTGTATTATAGCAACATGGCGTGAGGGGGACAGTTGTTTGGCTCCTGACCCGAGAGATGGCACCCTGCGAGAGGCCACAATTAAGAGACTGACCTCCATCTCTAATACTAATGATACTACAGCATGGGTGCAATTCACTCACCTTGAAAAAGATGCAGAAGAAAAAGAAGAGGAGGAAGCTGTACCTGTCTCAAAACTCATGAGACCAGAGTTGAATCACTTCCTCCAGGAGAAACCTATGTTTCCCTGCATCGCTGCAGACACCAAGCTTTGTGTCCCCTTAGAGTTGAGTGATGTTAATGGAGATAGTGTCCCCTACACCATCAACAGATACCTGAGAGATTACCAGAGAGAAGGTATCAGGTTCATTTACAAAAACTACATCGGTTCCAGAGGTTGTATCCTGGGGGATGACATGGGCTTGGGAAAAACCGTACAGGTACAAAATAGTTGCACACTTAATATCTGATTATTTTCTTTATGGTGGCTGTCTCTCTTATTTTCTCTAACTCTTGTTCTTATCTTAGGTCATTGGTTTCCTTGCTGCTGTATTACACAAAACAGGCACATGGGAGGACATCGAGAAAAACAGGCCTCAGTTTCTGCTGAGTCAGATGCCTTCCAAGCAAAGTAAACCCAACAAAGTGGGTATTGAAACACTTAACTTACATTTCCAGAATTATAAAAGATGTCAGGATAAATAAGTACTTGATTTTAAATGCTTGCTATGTTCATGTGCCACAATACTGTACATCTACAGATATGAGTATTCATTTTTCTTTGTTTTGTTTGTCCACGATCTGGTCTAGGTATTCCTCATTGTGGCCCCGCTCTCAGTGCTTTATAACTGGAAAGATGAACTGGACACATGGGGTCACTTCCAATGTGTGGTGGTCCACGGGCTGAGGAAAGAGGAGGAGCTGGCTCGCATCAAGAAGGGACGAATTGAGATCGCGCTTACTACCTACGAGACTCTGCGCCTTTGTCTTGATCAGTTTAATAAGTAAGAAACATGCTCAACTCATTCAAGCAACAAACCATATCTTACGTGTTTCCTGTATGTGTGGATTTAATGTATTTCTCATATGCGTAATTAATGTTTTTATTAATAAAGTACACCTTTGCCCTGCTTGCAGTATAGACTGGTCTGCTGTGGTTGTGGATGAGGCCCACAAGCTAAAAAATCCAAACTCTCAGATCACTCAGGCCATGAAGGATCTGAAATGCAAGGTCAAAGAGCTTTATGTTTTAATTGTATTATTACTAGTGTGTAACTAGATTCGGTTTGGATATACTTTTGGTAGAGAGCATTGGTGGTGTCATCAGGAAGTGTAAAGTCGCACTCAAGTTGTCTTCATCTCTGCTGTATTGAAAATATATTGAAATATGACACAATTTTTATAAGAAAATTAACTAAGCAATTGTATTTTCATTAGATCAGAGTTGGCCTCACTGGCACCATCTTACAGAACAACCTTGAGGAGCTGTGGTGCGTCATGGACTGGTAGGTGAAGAGACTTATGTGACAACACTTTTTCCATTTTCATATAAGCACATTTCAGTAATTTCGCCCTCGTAGCGTAAGTGATAAATGTACAATTTGCAACTTTGTTTGAAAACATTTTTCCTGTTAGCTTTCATATGTTTTATTCTATGAAGGGCCATACCTGGTTGTCTTGGCAACTTAGGAAATTTCAAGAACAACTTTTCGGATCCGATAGAGCAAGGGCAGAGGCACAGCGCAACCAAACGTGCCTTAGCTACCGCAAGGAAGACTGTCAGAGCTCTGGTGAGGAAGATCTCCCATTTGTTCCTCAGAAGAACTAAAGCTCTCATCAAGGAACAACTGCCTAAGAAGGATGACAGGGTAAGATTGGTGAAATGTAACTAGACTTTTGCATTTCTGGACACTTACAATTCACCATCTACATTACTATATTCTATTACCATATTTCCACAGCTCTATGATGTATATAAGCAACACTTAGACAAATGCTGGACTGTGTTTTCTCCTAGGTGGTGTATTGCTCCCTGACAGACTTTCAGCAGACTGTGTATCAGACGGTGTTGGACTCTGAAGATGTGACGTTAATTCTGAAGTCTTCAGAGAAATGTGACTGTCAAAGTGGACGCACCCGCGGACGCTGCTGCTATAAAGTTAGTTCACTGCTTTTACTATTCTGTGACTCTGTATGCTATGTTTTGTAATGGATTGAACTTAATTCTAAAGCTCGAGCTGTTAACTGCAAATCTGAAATTCACCTTTTAATTGAGTTGTATGTGAACAACTTTTTTGGGGGGGTTATTCAGTAATTTAAACAAACATGTTGGGAAAATGTTCCTTTAAGGATCCAGTTGGTATTTCTGCATTTTACTTTTGAAAAACAATAAAAGGCAGTGAATTAAAAAAGAAAATCAAACGCAACATTATAGCCAGTTACAACTGCCCATTTGATTGAAGTGTGGGAATAACTCTTTAATGTTAGCATTCACGAACAACTCTCATGTGGTTGAAAAAAAACAAAGATTGAGCACTCAAATAATATCTGATTCTTTGTTTTGCAGACAAATTCAGAAGGTGTGGAAATTAAGAGTCTATACTTTAGTTACTTGGCAATATTGAGGAAGATTGCAAACCATGCAGCACTGCTTCAGTCTACCGCAGGAACCAGTAAGAAACAGGTTAGTCATGTTAACCTATCACTGATTTACTGCACTTGTTCATTAGAGCTATCATCGGAAAGTTCACTATAACAACTCATTTGTATCTTCCAGGAAAAGTATGTGGGGCGCATATGTGCAAAGGTATTCCAAAAGTTCCCAGACTTTGTGCAGAGATGCAAAGACGAAGCATTTGAGGCCTTGTCAGACCCGCTGTACAGTGGGAAAATGATGGTAACGTTTGGGAACAAAGGCTCTGTCATCTGCTCATATATGGGTTGTTTCCCTGTGAGTGACTATATCTGTGTTTCTTTCAGGTTTTGCAGAAGCTGATGAAGCATTACTTGCAAAGGAGAGATAAAATACTTATTTTTTCTCTCTCAACCAAGGTGAGAGCTCAGTTTTTGTGGGTACCTTGTGTTTATTTAAATTAGAATTGTTGTGTGTCGGCATGTTTGCAAATATGAGTGCAACGACATATTGTGAGATTCAGATGAGCAACATGGCAAGATGTTTTCCTGTAGGGAAATGATTGGAGGCTCACAGTAATGTTATGTTATTAAGAGAAGTACGCTGATGGTTTTAGAGCTATTATCCATTCAGCCTTTCAACACACAAACAGGCCTAAACACACACTTAATTGCAAATGCTGTAAGGGCAGATTACTTGTTTACAGAATAAATTGTAGCAGGAGGTATGGTTTTCTCATGACATAGATTAATAGGTGAGCCTTTGTGTGGGGGCAATTAGAGGTTTAAAGATAATTAAACTCTTCAGAGTGTAATTGTTGCTGTCACCTGAGACAGTAATAATATTTCTCGCTGTTATGAGGTCATATTTTCATGGCCTATGTTTTGCTTTTTTGGTAATCATAGAGCCCATACAGATTTGATTGTGCAAGACTCAGCAACCCCTATAGTGTATCTCTAAATATACAAGCCTGTGGATATTCTGTTTCATTTTGATCATATTTGTTAGTAAATCCTTTGCTTTTTATATCCCCCATACAAACTCTTAAACCTTAGCGATGGGTGAATTCACATGACAGATGTAGGGATGCCTGTTTATTAACAGTTGACTTTGAACACTTTGTTGTTGTTTTCTACCTGCCAGCTGTTAGATGTGCTGGAGAGCTACTGCATGGCCGAGGGGCTCGACTACATCAGGCTGGACGGAACCACCAAAGCCAAAGAGAGAGTCCAGATTGTCAAAGAGTTCAACATCTCTCCTCACATCAACCTCTGCCTGGTTTCCACCATGTTAGTCAAACATTGATAATTAGATAACAAAGTTTCATATTTCCATTTTAAACCTGTAGTGGTTTGTTTAAAGAACAAGCTCTTATTTTTGTACATTTTCAAATGTCTGTCTCTTTCCATCAGGGCGGGTGGTCTTGGTCTGAACTTCGTAGGGGCCAATGTGGTTGTACTCTTTGACCCTACTTGGAACCCAGCCAATGACCTCCAAGCTATTGACAGGTAGATTGTGGGCCAAGTTTTCAAATACTTCAGTTTTTTATTCTGATGCTGCTTATCTCTACCACATTCAGCTGCCAGTATAGTGTACCTAGTAATATTATGTGCCTACCGGTGCTTTTGTGTTGATATGTTTGTGTCTGTTTTCAGGGCATATCGAATTGGCCAGTGCAGAGATGTGACTGTTCTTAGGCTGATCTCATTGGGCACCGTAGAAGAGGTTATCTACCTCAGACAAATTTACAAACAGGTACCAGATAATCTTAACAACACACAAGTCAAACAATAACAGAAAGAAACAAGCACAATAATATGTTTTGACAGTGTTTCCAAATGTCCTATCTTTCAGCAACTTCAGTCCTCCGTTGTCGGCAAGGAGAGTGCGCGGCGGTACTTTGAGGCAGTGCAGGGGCATGGTGTCCATAAGGGGGAGCTGTTTGGGATCAAAAACCTCTTCAGGCTGCAGACCCTAGGGTCATGCCTCACCCGCGAGATACTAGAGGTTAGAAAGCCTCCATAGCTTTTACAGTTTTATTGAAGATGTGTTTTGATGTAGCGTACTTACTCAACTCACCTTCTTCCAATGTCACAATGCAAGGTTTCACAAAACAGTCAAGAAAACGTATAGTTTATTTATTTTATTTGGAGTTTACTGATACTATATGTTGTCAAATTGACTGATAATGTCATTACAACTCTAGTTTCTTATAGGAATTTTAGAGGCATCCTGCACTGTTATTTCCTTGAATTTTAAACTTAAAAAATACACATGTACAGCCTAGTAAAAATAAAAACTGAAGGATAATTATTTTGTTGATGATTGGTACATAATTGAATATATTTTTGTTATTGACACGGTTAAGTTGATAAATGCGTGTCTAATTTTTTGCTTTCCCGTCAGCGAGAAGGACAAGTTGAGGCCGGCGTAATGACAAGCAGCACATACACGGCTGAAGAGAAGGAGGAGGGGACGGAGGGAGTTAGCGTGAGTAGTTATGCCCTTCTCAGAGACCCAGAACCTTAGGGCAGTCATCTTCCCATCCCTCACTGCGTCTTCTCTCCCAGGCGGCCCCCTCATCCTCCCATTCCCACGCGAAAGATGGGGTACCTCAAACAGGGACCCTACCATCTGTCAGTCAACCATCTCACGCAATCTCATTTCAGTTTATTGCCTTAGCTGAGACTATTTATCTTTGTTCTTTTCTCAATTCTTCTTTTTATTCCTGTTCACCCCATTTATGAGGAAAGATAATCAGCTTCCACTGTGACAAAATAAGACATATTATGCTACTTTTAAAGGAAGAACTTTGGGAAAGTAACAAAATGGCCAAAACGGTTCTTATCTTTATCACGCTGCTGTAGGTTTTAAAGTTTGTAGTTTTTCCTCACAGCTGTTGGGGGTAGCTTGGGTTCAGAAGGTTAGAATAAATCCATATAATGATTTTTTTATTGCCGTAAAAAGTAACAAAAAGATTATTTGAATTAGCTCAAACGGCTCTACTTTGACTTATAATCATTTGTTCATAAAAATATGTCTCACTATGCTACTTTCATGTCACATTATCATGGTTGTACTTTGACTGATTTAGTACAGTATATATGCCTACATTTAGCAAGGGACTACTTGCATTAGCAGAAGTCTCTATGGAGGTTTTGATGCTTTTGTATTGTGCAAACCGGCAACAACTGGAATCTTGTGTAACTCACTATAGGAACGGACTGTTCCTGACCCTTTCAATCGCAAAAATATTTAATGCTGTTTTACAAAAGAATCATAACTGCAATGCAATACATTTTGGGTGGAACATAACTTAAAGTCTTTGGCTTACAAAAAACACATCTTTCCACTCAATTCTTTGTGGTTTTGTAAAACTGAAGGACGAGGTTCTCTTTGTGTGCTTCTCACTTTCTCTCTGATGCAGGGTGCAACAGCTGGATGTAATTACTTGTGTATCCTGATGGAAGGAGCAGACCACACTGAAGCCTATCTTCTGCTTTTCAGCTATTTATTTACACAGCGATAGCCCTTATCATCCAGTTCCCAGCCAGGTCCTTTTTAACTGGGCTGTTGCTCCACTGAGGCCTTTCAGATTCTTCCAAAAACACAGAATACACTGGGGTGTCTTAACACGCACAGACAGGGGCTGGAGGCGTGTGAGCACCAACATGCACACAAGTACGGAGGAATTGATGGAAAATTGATGGAATTAGAATCACTGTTGGTGGTCGCTCTCATAATGCTCCCATTCATACAAGTCAAGGAAATGTTTTGACCCCTATCTTTTATTCATATTACATCATGGTCGAGGGCATACTGTATGTCACATTTATTTATATTGTGATTTATTTTTACAAACATCTGTTTTGTTTTACACAATAATATCTCATATGGGCTGTTCCACTGAAAGATGGCAAGAACAAGGGGAAGTGAGGAATTTGAAGCCGATTTGTGCTATTTTGGAGCTAAATCTTTCCCACACTGTCTATTTAAATCTTTGACATGCATTTCTTGTTCTCTTACTACCTACGTTGTATTGCTTTCTATTTCAATCTGTCCCCACTTTCTTAGCTGATTGTTTGTATTGTCTCATTTTAGAAACCTGGCGATTCCCCACCTGCAGATGACCCTGTACCGAATAATGAACCAGCCCAGGAGAACAGAGGTGCATCAAAGGTCCAAAAAGGGGTGCTGGACTTCAGCAGTGGAAGTGAAGAGGATGATGAAGAACAGGGTCTTAAGAGAAAGGGGTCAAAGCCCGGTGCAGCGGATGGCAACAGTGCTGCTGCTGGTCCTGGTCGAGTTAGTCTCCTTCAGCACGGTTTCTCCAGGCTCCTCGAAAGGGTCAAAGGGAAACCAGAGTTAGCAGAAGGGGACAGTAGTCCAGGTATCGAAGAAAGCCCCTCTGAGGAAGAGACTGTGGATCAAAATATGGAGGGTGCCTCCTCTGGTATTTGCAAAAGCTCTGATGCAGGAAATGCATCAGTCGGTCCCCCTAAATTGGGGACGAAAACCTGGGGTTCAGACATAGAAGACAGTGAGAATGGAGATAGTGGCAAAGAAGAGAGGGTCTCATTGTTTAAACAGAGTGATGATAATGTAAGGAAGAGATGGGGCCTGAAAGGGGGGACAAATAAAAACATTACTGTTGATGAGGAGAGTGATGGAAATCCCTCACCTGACAAAAAGAAACCTAACAAGCTCAAAACTTCAGTTCCAAAAGTGCGCCGCTTTAAGGGTTACTCAGATGAATCAGAGGATTTGGACATAGAGGCAAAGACCTGTCCCAAGAGGAGCACTTTAAATTCACATGGTAGAGGAAGTTGCAGAAGTAGTGTTCGGGACAAGGCCAGATCCAAATACACAAAGGACATAGAGACATTCACATCTTCAGAAGAGGAAAACACTCCTGTTAAGAAAGGGAGATCTCCAGGATGTCCCTCAACATCTCCACAAATAGAAAGGTCCAGGTTTGAGTTGACAAAAGATGGGCAAAGAGCTGCAACCACCAGGACAGAGAGACGAGCAGGCATGCCCAAAGCTGTTTCATTTACGAATCTGAAATGTCAGACATCCCCGGCATCCAAAGGAAAGGATATAACTATTGACAGTGTGCTAGGTAAATTCAATACCTTTTGATTAAATGATTATAATTCTTAATGAAACTTTATTCAACATTAATGATGTATATTTCTGTTTAAAGGTGGTGTACACGAGGTGTTATACACCCACTCTAACCAGCGCGTTGTGGGCGGGAGCAAAGCAGAGGAGCGGATGAGTCGAGCCGCAGTACGAGACGTGTTTGAGCGCAAGATGTACTCTCAGCTCCCGGCCAATCACCTTCTAGGCACACAGGAGGTAATACTGTGTATCTTGCCATGCCAAATCGGAGTAGATTAATTCAATTGTATTTTAAAAGACTTTATTGACTGTATCAGGCACATATGCTCACTACCACATGAGAGTGGATGTAAACATAATCTATTTTAGTAGCTTAACAAGGTTTCAGTCGTGCTTTATTAGTGGCAGCAGTTTTACCTTTACCTTTAACATCTGTGGTCCCTAATGCCACATGTTTATATCCAATATCATGCTACTTATCTCAGCCAACAGCACAGACTAGGGGAGAGAGGCTGCTGGTAAACAAAATGGTCACTTATGGACTTCTGTTGATTCCTTTGTATGATTTTTGGATTGTGTGTGTGTGTGTGTGTGTGCGTCCGTCCGTCCAGGTTAAAATGTTAGCCCTGTCAAGGCTTTTTGCCTTTAAATGGAGGGTACAGCCAAAATAGTAAAAAAGAAAAGGGGAAAAAATATGTTGGGACGCAGCTCCAATTTGAACCCGCGCTGCTGCGTTAAGGACATGGGGAACCTGCTCCAACATCAGAAGTCCTTAATTTTTAATGGTAATTGTTTGGTATGTTTAAATGTTTTATGTTCTTGATTGTACCAGAGTCTGTCATCGAGCCCGCCAGACAGTCCGCCCTGCCCCTCTGCTGTCAGACTGGAGAGGCCCAGTGTGGACCATCCAGTCAGCTTTGCCAACAAGAGTGTGCACCAAACCAAAAACACGACCTTCATCATTGGAGAGACTCCTCAAGCCATATGCAGGTACTGAAAAGGTGTCAGAAGAGATGAGGGGAAGTGAGAGAAAAAAGAACAAAGGCGACAGCAGATGGGAAAGTGCAGAAAAGCTGAGAATAAAAAATAATAAAACATGTCTATTGTAAAATATAACATAGGGGGTAAGAGAGGGCATGGACGAGAACCAAAGTTATGGGTAGATGTAGTTAAGGAAAACTGACTCAGTGTAAGCGGCCAGCATGGTTTGAATAAGAATAAATCAAGTCAGGGAATGAAAAGAAGAAAGGTGGTCTTTAGAGTGAAGTAGGAAGAGAGAGATTCCTGGCAGCGTAGGGAAGGAGGCCAAAACTTACCACAGGTATGGTGTTGAGCGCCCCCACCTGGGCCTCAGGAATTATATGTGTGTGTTTTTAGCGCAAGACCACCTCTGAGCTTTCCCTCTCCACCTATTTCCCAGCATCATGCCAAAGATTACCCAGTTATGTTCAGGCCAGACTGTGCTGGAGTTTTCCCCTCCACAACCACAGCCCTCCTGACTCTAACCAAAAACGATCGCCCGAGGACTTCCAAACCCACACTGATGTACACACTTCCTAACAAGCATTCACACACACGTACAGACACACACTGCTCAAATACACACCTCTGTCTCTCCGGCTGCTTCACCTCCGCCCCCCCACCTTCCCAAAACACTCGTATACAGACACATTTTATGGCTCCAATCTCACTTCCCAAGGGTGAGCCTGTATCTCTGCCCAGAGGCTCACCAGGGAGGGAAACTAGTATACACCAGTTATATTGATATCCCCTCAATTAACCTTGCTGTTTAATGATTTGAAACCACATTCACATCATGTTTTACTGCTCTTACTTTTATTTATTGTTTTTCCATTGAAAGCCACAAATGGTAATAACTCCACCATAATGCCGGACAGTGACTTTGAAGTATTTCTGTCCCCAAGTCTAGTGAGACCAAAGTTTTAATGACTGCTTTGGAGCTCAGGAAAAACATCTCATACTGCATGGGTCTCTGAATATGAGCCTGAATATGTGAACTATTCATATATCCTAGGCCTGTTGGACCCACAGAATATGTGATTAATACGATGGGTTTCCTGTTTTTTTAAAGACAATACTTTAAGTGGGATTTAAAGTACCTTACTGTATGCTTACATGTGACATGTCCACAGTAAGTCAGGACTTGTACTAACTGTATGTGTGTGAATATGATGTTTTAATTCACATGATATTACCAATTGATATTACTTATAAAAACATACACATTTTCTTTGCCTGGATGTTTGTCAAACTCATTTCTGTCTTGTCATTTGTGTTCTTGTGTTTAGGCAGCAGCTCGAGGAAATGGCAGAACAGTTGAAGTTTCCCTCAGTCCATCAGTTTGCACTTGAGATTCTGAGGAAAAACTCGACCCAGAGACTGGCGTGGCTACGACAATATTACACATCACTAAACAACCCTGACCTTGACAAAACGGTGACAAACAATTTCCCAGAATCTGATTCAGCACAGACCTCCTTTTCAACCACTACCTCCACAACATCTACCAGAACATCCCCAAAATCTCAAACACATACCCGAACCCCACAAAAGGATGTTCCAAAAGCCAAAAGGAAGCCGAAATACTCTCAGAATAATCCTGAACCTAAAATGATGCCTGAAACCCAACAAAACAATGTTTCTGTGCAGCAGAAAAAGTCTAGACGCCCACAAAATGATGTTCCTGTTCCCCAGACAAAGCATAGAAACCTGCAAAATAATGTTCTACCGCCACTAAAAAAGCAAAATATCCCACACAAGAATGCCCTAGAACCTCTAAGTGATGTTCCAAGCCTTGAGTCAGACGAGCAGGAGGAGACGGTCTGCAGTGCCAGAGGACATAAGAGGACAAAGATGAATAGTGTTTCTGGTTCTGGAGCCTTCGGTGGTCTTGGCTTGGATCAGGCCAGCAGCAGTGGTCTGACATCTGGGGAGGTTGCTGCTTTCCCGACAAGCACCAACAGAGATATTCCTTCTTCTCAGGACCTCCGCCATGGCAGCTCCACCACATTATCCAAACCCACAGCAAAGGAAGGGCAGAAACTGTCTTTCAGGAGCAGTGAAACTCTTCAAGGCCAGAGAACAAATCCTCTGACCTCTTCTCCCCCTGAGCAGGCCACATCTTCTTCCAGTCATCGTTCCCTCCTTAAAGATCTGATAGGAGACACCTCAATTCTGGATGACCTGCTAAAACCCAAACCCAAGGGAGTCAAACAGAGCCCGAAGACAGCTCCTGCACTGTCCAACGTGTCAGTGGACGCATGTCTTACCACGCCTTCTTCATCCAAAATCACTCTTAATACTGATTCTGGTGCAGTCATAGACTCGCTGTCCTCTCCAAACAAGCCCCCTACACATCAGGTGGTTTCAAAGGGCAGTCGCAAAGATTTTTGGGACATCCTGAATGAAGGTAATGAGGAGAGCATCAACAGGTTAACAGACCCGGCAGAAGTACAGAGGGTTTGCATCAACACTCGTATTGCAGCTAGAGGTAGGTCAGGAAAAGAGGAGAGGGAGAGTCTCTGGAAGACTAATGACAAGTTCCTGTGGAAGAAATGATGCAAGAGAGACAATTAGTTACATTTGGTACTTTTTTTAACTTTTGCAGTTCTGAAGAAGATTCATAAAAATGTCCCCGTTGATTATTTAAAGCAGATTTTCCTACCTCAGACTTTCTCAAGTTTGTATTTTATTACTTTTGCCCTATTCTTTTATTCTTTTAAAGAGTGTTTTAGTTTTTTAGTGTCAACATTTGAAGATCTTTAGCGTTCATTGAATTAGCGAGTAATCATATTGCTGACTGTTACTTGGTTAAACAGAGTGTTGATCACTTTGAGAATTAAAACCTTTTCTAAATTGTATGGAAGTTATTGCCCTGTAAATTGTTTTATTTCATAGGCATTTACTATGTACTGTATATAACATTGAGCCAAAAGGGAAACACACATTTCCAAATTGATGTCTTCAAATATTTTTTTATTCTTAGAGATCCCAAAGACAAAACATAACATTCTCGCACTTCAGAAGCTTTCAAATACTATTAAAGTTATCAAATGTTTTGCATGTTTGCCTTAAACATTTTGTTTTTGTTTTAATGGATTACCAAAATATTTGCAGCTCAAACTAATGGTGTTAGTTCTTTATAAAAATAGGTGAACCAAACTATACAAAGTTGTTTGCCTCCTGTGTTCACATGTACAGTAGTTTAAGTTCAGTATCAAGGCCCAGACTGTGGCTGCACTTGATATGATGATAAGTGGGAATCCCACTCAGCTGTAGGCATTAGCTATCATCGTTATTGGATACCACGACTGCCCCCGGGGTGGCCCTGCAGAGATATCACTTAAAGCTCCCTAATGGCTATTATGTCTCCCTCACTTTGAACACATCACTGCCTCCCACTCCCCATGAGATTGCATATTGTGTAGATGGTGTAGTTTCCCTGCACAGTGTTCTGCACAGTAATCTGATCGTCTGTGGCTCAACTCTTATAGTGGAAGCTGCTGCGCAATTAGTGAAATAAAAATAAGCAGTCGAAGACTTAGTGGAGAAGAGGGATGGGGAGTCACTTTCACACTCATCCGTCCACCAATCCTCTGTGAAATCCACTCCATAGAAATAAAAAAGACTGTGTTATCAAACTAATAGTTGTAATGTGAAGAAGAAAGCCCTTAATGTGGGTGTATGTGAATGAGCGTGCATTCATGTGCTAAACCTCACAGCTGTGTCTGCCCTCTTTTAATCTGAGAAAGTAGAACCCTGAAGAGAGCTGCTCTGTGTAAGTGTTGTGTTTTGTTTAGCAGAAATGAGAAAGTGCTGATAGCTATCAATAAACGTGCCTCAACAGAACAGGCAGCTCTGTTAGGGTTTGTATGTGTGTGTGCTTGTGCTTGTGCATGTAGGCCTTCTGGGTGGTAGATCTTGACGATCTTCACACACATATACCAAGGCCACACATTTGTCACACCTGTTCAAATCACAGACAGAGAATAAAAAGCCCTTTCTCTTATCCCAAACCCTTCCCTCTCTGCTTTTCTCATTCTGTTTCACCGTCAACTGAGAACCGCAGATCCCTATCTGTCTTTTTGTGGTCATAGTCTGGTTCAAGTGAGATAGCAGAGAGGCTTTGCATTTAACTGACAATAGAAAGGCTCACCGTCTGAGTGACAGTGGTTGGAGGCTAATGGAGGCCAGCTAACATGGCTCAGTGGCAAACAAAGCTCTCTTATCCTTAATGCTAACGGCAGTATTCTGTCAAGGATCTGGAGTGAGACATTCAACACCCATGAATGGCTAGTGACAATGTCTCAAGTCTGTGTGATGATTGGATTTTATTTTTTTACATCCTGTGGTGTAATTTGCCATACCTAAGAGTCACAAAAAATACCACAAAAGTGAAGGTGTGTTCCGATTCTCCCATTAGTGTTTCCGCTCTCTGTGTCAAGGGCAGCGTGAACACTTTGTTTATATTTCCTGTCACTTTCACCTGGGTGTGTGTGAGACTGATATAAACGGGACAGTCAGAAATCGCGGCAGAGGGCGGCCCTTGCAATGTAGATTTATTTTCAGATGTCAGGCTGTGACACCTAGTTTGATTTGATTTGTTAAAAGCTGTGAATGAGTGTTGACCCGTACTGACCTGGGCCTCCAGTCCTTTCTGGCTCAGGTTTCAAAATAATTCATTCTGCAATGTGTTAAGAAGGTTTGCAGAAATCAGCAGAGGCTGATAAAGAACTAGCTCTTTTTTAATGAAGTATTATATAAGGGTATTCTTATATGAAAGAAGTCTCGACAGTTAGCCTGTGGGTTCTGGTAGCTAACAGAGGGTCATTGTGGGTCATCGGTGTGTGTTTCTTAGGATCTTTGTCGCAATAACTCGGACTACTTTTTCTAAAGAGCTTCATTGAGATCCAATTCACTAATTTCTTACTTTCTTTCCTTATGACCTTACAACATACGTGAAGGAGGTTTGGGACTCTAACGTCAATAATCACGCTGCACAGGCAAAAATAATAATAATAATAATATTATTCAAATCTCTCCTGTGTCCAAACTGCAGTATGCACATATTCCGTATGACTCGAAAATATTGTCATGTTATCGAAGGTCAATTAAAAGCATGTCCCAAATTCGAATTTGGGGAAGTCCAGACAAAACACAAATGCAGGAATGTCTCGTGAAATAATCCACACTGTTTATGGGATCCCATCACAGCAAGAGAACATTATTTTTTAGGGCCTTTAAGGCTGTGGAAATATGCATCAGTTTTGTAGGATTCTCCTTAGGGCAACTGTTACAATGTAAGTATCATTAAAAACGTGTATTTAGGTGACCGTCATAGGTGTTTATGAGGGAACAGGATAAACAGTTTGTATCCAAAGCCTATGAAAAAACTTTAACGGTGACTCAGCACACAAAAAACTCCTATAGAGGGGTACAGAGTCCTCCTGTTGTTACGGTTGCAGGCCGAGGAGGTCTCTAAATGTGAAAAAGAACAACTCCCCCTCTTCGTTAGGAAATTACACACCATTTGCCACTCATTCCTATCCAGTTACCCGGGCAACTGTTAGCTGTAATTTAGGTTAATTCACTGGCTCCTGGGCCCTTCCGTTCCCCATTGTGCCCGTCTATAAAAGAGATATAACACAGATGCACACGCACACACACTATGTTTTGTAATGCAGTAATGCACACAGTAAAAGGACTTATCCTCATTTGTATTGCTTCTCCTCAACACGGCTCAAAATAGACTGTGCCAATGAATTTCTTTGAAGGAAAGCTTAAATCTATTCACTCTGAACACCTGCATGAGTGAGGAAGTGCTGGAATTATGACATTAATTTTGCACAAAAGACACTCGTCCTCTCTGAACCTGTCTGGTCTTGAAGGTGGAAGTGACTGGGATGAAGGGAGGTCTACTCGATTGCTCCTTTCAGAACAAAAGGAATGGAAAACTGTGTGTTTTCCCGTGGGGTAAATATTGAGAGAGCAGAGATATAAACGTGCGGAAGAAAGGCTTTTCTGAGCCGCCTGGATCTCTGTTGCACTGCCAAAGGCCTGTGCGTCACTTGATCCATTGTTTAGTGTAGAGAGTTCTGGGTAAGAAAAGCGGCTGCCTCCCTGCTCCAGCTGCAGCCTCTCTACTGTTTATGTTTGCAGGGCCCTTCTCCTTGAAGTGAGGCTATCCAAGCAAAGCTCAGCCATATGTGAGCACTGGGCCGTCAGAGAAGTCACTGGTCTTTTCTTTTCACTTTTTCTGATCCATCTCTCTCTCTAGAACATTTCCATTTTCACCCTTTCTCTTCCCTCCACCCTCTTTCATCCTCTCTACCTCTGTTCCTCTGCCTGCATGCTCCCCCTGCCAGTCCCTGACAGCCGGCTCTTTTGGAGAAGATGAAGGGTTTGAATTATCTTCTTGAATTTCAAAGACCTCCATCCTGGATGGAAGAGAAGTGGTGGGTATTATTACTCCTGTAAGAAATAATTACCCCTAAGATCTCTTCTTGCGACTGAATCTCTGTGGCCTCTGCAGCAAAGTTTGAGAGAGAAAGGGGTAATTATGTCACAGAAATATTTCAGCTAGTATAAATCATTTAATATTTATACTGGTAGTCAGTCTGACAAGCACAGCACATTCAGGAGAAAAACAACTTAAGGAGAGAAAGCCACTCAAGGAAATCACCACATTCTCACTCCCAACTCGTACTATAGTGACATTATGTCAGGATCCCTTGGCGTCACTATCAAACGCAGTGGGGGCCCCTATAGCGTCAATTTTCAACTATCAGGGAGTCCCATTGACTTGCATAGAGCTCCCTGAACGTTGGTAATAGACGAGTTGGGATCAATCAATCAATCAATCAATGTTTATTTATATAGCCCAATATCACAAATGTTACATTTGTCTCAGTGGACTTCACAGTTTGTACAGAATATCAGTATGACAATACGACACCCTCTGTCCTTAGACCCTCACATCGCGCGGAGAAATGCTCTCCGCAGACCCATTCTCACAGCGTTTATCAACCTTTTTCTTACTCAATATCAAGCCACACTTATTGTTTTTACTTCTTTATTTTAATTGTATAATGTTTTGTTGCCGTCAGTTAGGGGGAGAGTAGGGGCTCAGAATACTGAAATCTGTATTGTTTCCTCGTTTTTTCCTTCTAATTTTGTATTCTTTTCTAAACCACTCAATGTTATTTACTCAACAATAAGACACAATTATCCTTGTGTTTATTTATTTGTTTGATTGTATAATGTCGGACTTTTGGAGTCCGTCAGGACCGAGGGTCAGAGCAGCTCATTTGAACACAGGAAGCTGTATTTTCAAAATAAGAGTTCATTTTATATTATGTTTGATAATATATTTTTTATTAACTAGACCACTGGGTCATGTTAAGACCATCTTTTCTGTCGGCTTGGTGTTACAAATATCAAAACAATATATGTGTGGATAACAAAATACATCCATCATAAACTAAACTCGAAACAGCAGTATATTTTATTGTGTTAACACTGTAAACTTGACAGTTTTTTAACCCGCACCACCTAGTGGTTAAAGCACGTTATGAATTTTCTTGTTGAATATGATATATTTGATGAAAACACATACAAAATACGGGGAAAGTAGAAGGTCAATGATAGAAATATAGAATAGAAAATATCAAGAAGATAGAGGCCGTTTCTCAATGTCGAGTAAAGCTGCTGCAGAGCCACTATTTCAAGTATACTACGTCATCGAGTGGCGCCGAAGGACTGTTTAAATGCCCAGCTTTCGGCGCCACTCGATGTAGTATACTTGAAATAGTGGCTCTGCAGCAGTTTTACTCGACATTGAAAAACGGCCACTGTAAGTGATCTCTACAATAAAACAGTTTAGTGCAGGATGTCCAAAGATATTAATAGGAGGATGTGCAAAACAGACAAACTAATAAGGCTTTATTTAAACATTAAAGAATACATTAGGTTAAGCCAGGTCTTTTTTTAAATAAGAAAAAAGCATTGGGGGTATCAACAGATAAATATTAAGCCTGACAAAGTAGCCTACTTAACGTT